CCCCTCTGAGCGCTCCAGCCAATGTCACCACCTATGGTTTCCCTTCTCCCCTCCCACCCCAGCCAATACAAGGAGAGTTCACCTGAGGTCCCAAGAGCCCCATACACTTTCACAACCTTTCCTTTAAGCCTTTCCATCCCCATCCTCCTTCTCTGCTCTCCAATCCCACCAAAGCTATTTGATTATAATTTTAGAGAAGAAAGACAGTGATTATATAGTTTCCAGTAAAGATACTGCTCCTCCATCTTGTCACCTAAGGAGTAGATCGGCTGAAACTATGCATTTCTCCATCTGTGAGGGGTCAGTTATGCATATACTCTGAGGTCATTCGTGTTTGGTTTTTCACTCACACCTGCAGTTCCAGATGAAACTCCTGAGCACACTCATGAATGCCTTGAAGAAACAAATGGGCAAGAAAATAAACAGGAAGACCATCCAGAGCCCAATGGTCTCCCAATACATCACTTTATGTCAGTGCCAAACGCAACCAAATATTAAATAAGAAATGGAAACATTTCTAAGTGTTGGAGATAAAGTGCTCTCATTGGCCACAGCTCATCTCTGAAGCTCACCTCAGGCCTCCTCTTAGGATCCTGAGATGCCTGGACTCAGAAACCTGGAACCTAAACACAGCTGGAGCTTGCTCGCAACTCTGGTTTTATATTTCTGAATTTCCTTAATTCTAATGACTCTAAGAGGACCACTGGCTGACCACATCTGCTTGAGGCAGGAACACATGCCCTGGGCAGGTCCATTTAGCCAACACACCTATAGCAGAGTTTTCAAGCATGGCTTTCCAGGGCAAAGCACACAGCCTAGTGGAGACACATCTATCTCCTCCATGATTTTAGATGCACAAGTAGTGCTGATAAAGAGTGATAAAAAAGATCATGCAACTGTCAACCTATCAGTTCCCAACAAATTTAGAAGATTCCACTCACCACGACACTACTTGGTTGAATGGCTGATTACTTGAAATGATAATGGCTCTTGGGCTTCTCAAAATACATCTGACAATTCTGGCAAAAAAAGATGCATTGTTTCTATGTGTCCTGTTAAGGTACTAGAACTAATTATTAGAGTCTTAACATTTGTTTTTGATGGATTATCAGTTCCTGGGGAGCACAGTTACATGAACCATTAGTTTGAGAGCAAAATTTTCCCACACTGCAATGACCCACTAATGCACTGACTGCTGCTACCTGTCAGTCAGCCAGGGGACTTGCACAATAGAAAATGGGAACAGTCTTTTTAAATGTATATGTCTTGTTTTTTGTTTTTTGTTCGTGTTTTAGGTATATAAACCATTTAGCAATGGCCTACAGATTCGTTTCTTCTTAGACACAACCATGGTACAGCAATGTAGTCACGATGAAATAGGCCAGAGACCCCCACCCAGAAGACTCTTACCATAATTAAGCAGAAAACCCCATCATATCTATGGCATGTAAGTTCCTCTTAGCCTGTCAGAGAGGATGTCAGCAAAAGCTTCTGCAGACAGCATTGTGGTTGGTAATTTCCTCTTCTTGTAAATGCCAGGTTTGCACACAAAAGGTGTGAAAATTTCTCAGGTATCTAGCCTCTTCCATCCTATATCAATGATGGGCTTGCCTCAGACACAAAGGCCCTGGAACGGGCATGGCCCACTGTGAACCCTAAATTTTAGTTGCTCCAGTCCCCACTAAGCTTGTTGTCTAGACCATTGTTCAGAACCTGACTATATTCCATCCTTTATGTTTCTGTCTATCCAGGAACCAATCTGAGACCTATATGGCCATGAATTCTGCATAACGGTGAAAACATTCCACCTCATCCTCTGTGAGTTCTCCAGCCCTGATGGTGGACCAATATCTGCTTTCCTTAATACCACATGAGCATATCTTCACCCCACACCCTTAAAGGCAGTGATGGCAAAGCCTATTTTTCATGGCACATCTATGTTGTAGAAAATGTGCTAGAACTTCTATTGTTTCTTTTTTATTTTAATTGAGAACACTTATAAATAATACAATGCATAAGCTTTAAGTGCCTATTTGATGATTTTTGACAAACATATATAACCACATATCCATAATTCTATTCCAGATATAAAACATTTCCATCGCCACCCAAAGTTCCTTCACGCCACTTCCAGGCCACCCCACTACCACCGGAGACAGCCTCTGTCTGATTTCTATCACTATAGGTAGGTTTGCCTGCTCTAGAGTTTCTCACACAAATGGAATCACACACTATGTACTGTTTTGTACCTGACTTCTTTTACTCGATATAATGTTTTTAAGACTCATCCATGTCGTGAGTAACTGTAGTAACTTCATTTATTATATGCATATACACAGTTTGTTTTCTACCTTCCTGGTAATGGACATTTGAGTTGTTTTCCAGTTTGAAATCATGATAAATAAAGCTGCTCTAAAAATTCTTATGCAAGTCTTTGGGTAAATATATGCTCTGTTTCTTGGAGGTAAATACTCGGTAGAATTGTGTAGTCACAGGGTAGGGTTTAACTACCTTAAAACTAGGGTTTAACTTTACCAGACACTACGGGGTATCTTTTTAATATGAACACCTCCACCTTCTCCCATTTCTTCCATAAATACTCATTTTAAGGAAGATAGTGCATAAGTTTTTATTTTTCTTTTATTATTTCTTTCTGCTCTGGGCAGATAACTTTAGTTGTCATTGACAGGGACAGTTTTAAGAACTCAGTCCCAATAACTGAAGGGGTGTGAAGGATCCTGCTTAAAGAAAGGAAGAAAGAATGTCCTCAAAAGAAGACTTAGCTTTCCAGACAGGCCTACAGAGGCTTTGCCTGTAAAGAAGTGTCAGCTCCTTGTTGCACAAGCTTCAATTCCTGGGATACCATCTAAGCTTAGGCAGCTGGAAATTTTTTTTTTTCATAATACCATTTGATTTTAGCAGTGAAACCACCGCTAAAAGAGAAGTCATTATGCAAATTGATATTATAATTAAGTGGTTGTTTCTAATGTAATCTTGGACAAGTCTTTCCCTTTGTTTCTGCTTTGGAGACTTAGGATTTTCAAAATCCCCTTGGGTGTCATTCAATGGCTGACACTGGCCTTAGGAGGAGGACAGTTGTTCACTTGAGACGGCTCCAATTTTGGTGTGATCAGCAGCCATGTTATTTACAGGATTAAGATTCATCCCTTTGATAATATAAAAAACTAGGTAGCAAAAGGTACTGCGTAAAAATAATGCTTTACCACAGAACACATTTTGCTTTAGTCAAATCTTTTCTTTTCTTTTTTTTTCCTAAGGAAAAAGTGTGTGGGCTTATCTCTTGAAAATGCCAGCGTAGCTGTGAACACTGGGGAAATTAAAAGACTGAATAGAATGGATTTCTTAGGAAAAATCAGTATGAGTATTCAGAGAGTTGCATGGCTTATTTATTAAGTTGTGTGCTGGGGGAGGATTATCTACCTTGGACTTATCTATTACTTTGTGGCAGTAGTTTTTAAGTGTGGAGTATTTTTGCGTTGCACAAAGCCAAGTTCAGATGGAATCTAAAACTTAGTAACTTTGGAAGCTTTGGCTAGAAAAGAAATCAGAGAAATCGGATATATAAATATTGCCTCTGCTACCATTCTTTGCCCAGAAAAGGATTTGGACAACATCATGGGACCTTTTGACATAGCATCAGTTATTCTAAAACACAGAGGTTTGTGATGGTGTATAAACAATGCTGCCCAAGAGGCTATGGTCAGTATACCCCTCCCTTGTTTACTGCTGCAGCCAAAAACTAAGAGGTATCTTTCTATGAGAAGAATCACAGGTAATCTGGAATCATGTGTCACAAAACAGGAACAGTGGCCACAAATCAGTGCAGCTCTAGCCCAGTTCAAGGGCAATAAGAATCTCATCTATTAAATGAGGTAATTATGACTTGGTGCCTTGAAGTTATGTGCTACCAGTTCATGATAGTATTCTACACTAATAATGCTTTTTGTCTTTAATTTGAAAAGTGCTCCGTGACTATCAGTTAGTCTGCAGAATATTCCCCAGAAGCTGAATTAATATGATTGCTCTTGTTCAATTTGAGGAAGGGAAGGGACAGCTGCAGAAAGGACATACAGAGAATAAAGGCAACTATTGGCCATCCAGAATACCTGCCCCCAGTTCACATCAAATTTAGCACTTTTAGCAAAAAAAAAAAAAAAATGCATTTCTATAGTTTGTGTAATATCCTATAACAGCTCTATAAAATGACATAATCAAATATGTATAATTTCAGACCAAAAAAAAAAAACATAGAATATGGGATAATAAATAGGATGGAATTTTTGTGCTTCCTAGCACCCCACCCCCCAGTTGTTCATACGACTGCTACATACTTAATCCTGTTATTACCCCTTGGAAATAACACAGGTGGGCTAGATATTTAACTAGAAAATCTTCCTGAATGCATGGGCCTCTTGCTATTAGAAATAATTTCTAACTAAAGAAAACTGCACTTTCTATCAAAGAGAATGAATGGCCTATTATTTGAAAGCAGTATCCTTTCTCCCACAGATAATGCAGTCGTATTTGTTTTCTTTCAAGAATCAGAGTTCCAAGCACATTCTTACAAGCTTTGCCATGGTGAACAGACACAGGAAACACAGCTGATCTCTACAATCTACTCGGTCCTGGGTACACTGGGGTGTTCAGCCACACAATTTTAATATCTAGCAACAGTCCAAAATCTCTTTCTGGAAACTCTTTCATGATCTAATGAATCTCATTTATTTTTTTAAATATTTTAATTGAATTTTTAAAAATAAATGACAGCAGAATGCATTACCATTCTTATTATACATACACAGCAGAATTTTTCATATCTCTGGCTATATATAAAGTATGTTCACACCAATTTGTGTCTTCATACATGTACTTTGGATCATGATGTGCATCACATGGGTTAGCAAGGATAATGAGTCTCATTTAGATGAATGAATCTTCTTTTATTACTTCTTACAAGTTCATACCACACTCCTAAATGATGGAGAATAGCAGGTAGATTTCGTTTCTATGGCTGTCATAACAAACCACCACAAACCAAAGGGCTTAAAATAAAAGAAATGTATTCTCCCACAGTTGTGGAGACAAGAAGTTGAAAATCAAAGTCTCAACAGGGTCATGTTCCCTCCCAAGTCTCGTGAGGATAATTTCTTCTTTCTTCTTGTAACTTCTGGTCATTGCCAGCAACCCTTGGCATCCCTGGCCCTCGAGCAGCCTAACTCCAATCCTGTCTCCACCTTCACATGGCTTCTACCTTATGTGTGTCTCTCTCTCTATGGCTCTCCTGATAAGAAGATGGAAACTCCAATTACCAGGTAATATTAGGATGAACCATGTGTGAAAAATGTCCTCCCAAGGGCTGGGGATAAAATTCGGTTGGTAGGGTGCTTGCCTTGCATGCATAAGGCCCTGGATTCAATCTGCAGCACCACCAAAAAAAAAAAAAAAAAAAAAAAGTCCTCCCAAAATTTGTATGTTGAAACCCGAACCCCCTAATGTGATTGATCTTACTAGAACGTGGGGTCTTTGGAAGGATCGTGAAAGTAGAATCCTTATGAATGGAACTAGTACCCTTGTGAAAGGGACCTCAAGGAGCTCTGGTACCTTCTATCAGCCATGTGAAGATACCGGGAGAAGCGGGCAGTCTGCAACCCAGAAGACGGCCTTCACCAGAGCCCCAACATGCTGACAGCCTCGTCTGGAACTTCCAGCCTCCAGAGCTGTAAGAAACACATTTCTGTTGTTGGTAAGTCACCCAGGACATGGTACTTTGTTACAGCAGCCCAAACACACTAGTAAGACAAATGGGTGATTTAGACTTAAACATCTCTCTTAAGAGGACACAACCCAAATCACCCCATCTTCATGGTTCCAAGAATGCATGAGTCTGAATACACATGATAATCACTTGAGGAGAATGTTAAGAATAAAAACAAAAGCAACGCCTCTTCCATTCCACCATCTTAAGTTTTAATATCTGGAGGGAAGCCTAAGCATCCAGATGTTTTTAAAGCTCCCCAGGTAATTCTCACAGGCAGCCCGTGTGGACCCTTCACAACCTTGAGGAATGATACGTGTAGCTACAGGCAAGAAGAACGATTAAAAACAGATTTACCTATGGCCTCTTTCCTCCAAAATATGAGCCCTCCAAAGCAGTCTGATTTTAAGATGCAACTCAAACTCTTTTCTAAGTGAATTTTGAACTGACAGTAAAAATGTATATTTTTAATAACACGGAGAAAGCTCCCAATAATTTGTTTCACCCAAGGAACACAGTCTCTGGTGATTTAAGCTCTGAAGTCCTCATTGTTTTCGTAATGTGAAATCACTCTAGACGAAAATTTAACTGTTTGAACTGACCTGAAACTTGTTTTACGGCAAAAGATTTCCATATTGTTCATTCCAGAGACACAAATAGATATTTCCAACCAGAAGAAACTGTGACCTTTCTAAGATGAGTGTCAACCAAAAATGCAAACTTTTTCACATTGAATGATTTGGGGGGAAAGAATTTCCAGTTTCAGGTAAGTGAGATTTTTTTTTTTTCTCTCCTGTACTTGCTCATTGCTTCATGTTTGAACTCCAGTTAGGAAGATATTTCTTGATATTTGCTTCCCCGTGCTCATTACAACTTTTTTAAAATTTACATTTTTTTGAGAAATAGCATTTTCTGAAGAATATGCATGCTGAGATGACAGCATTGTGCCCACGGAGATACCATTGTAAGCTGAATGAGCCAAGAGGAAGAAGTAGAAATGAAAGGCCGCATTCATTTAAGCAAATCAAAGAGGCTCTGTGTGCACCCTTCTTCCTTCCTTTCTCTGGGCTCTGAACATCCACACGTCCACAGAACATTCATCAAGGCGCTTTTCTTTCCTGCCAGATCTGTAAAGGGGAAAGATTCACTTCTCCTTCCCAAGGTGTCAACCTTTGTTGTTATTGATGCCTCCAAGCCTGCAATTACTTGATGAAGCTAATGGGTAAAAGCACTTAAAGGGCTAGGCTACGCGGTTCCATTGTCATAAGCCATGTAAAACAAACCAGACCCAACGCAGCCTGACAAGCTCTCAGTCTGTTATTATTAGGGATTTATTTAAATTATAGGTTGGTCTAAATTTATAATTTAGCCATTACCCTTAGCACACTTTCCTTTTCTTTGAAAACTAACCCCAAGAGAGACGTTTACCAAATTCCTTTCTCCACGCTGTCAGATGAGAAAAATGTCAAGTGGCCTGAGTGGCCAGCGGGAGGGGTTGAAAGTGTACTTAGAATAGTAAACTTCAATAAAAGTGGAATTTCACAGCTAACTACCCTTTACCTCTTTGCCAATGGAAACAGCAGATGGGTTCATCCTTGGTTTAACGCCCCTATTAATCCTGCTATAGCACTGGGAAAAAGGAATGGTAAAAAGCAAGTTCCATATAACCCCCTCCTCTTTCTTACCCCTGCCTGATTAGATAAGCCCTTAACAAAGCTCAGAACCTATGGCATTAGGTGTTAATGTTCTAACTGAGGAGGAGGAGAATGCTTTTAGTTGTCCTTCTCTGCAGAAGAAGGGTATTCTTGTCCTGAGAGATCAGCAACATACAAATACATCAAAAACACTGAGTAGTTATGTTTTAGGTCATTCAAAATGTGCACCAACATAAGTGATGCCTGATGTCACCCTTACACAAATATTTTACCACAACTGACGTGAAAGAATCATGCAAGAAAACTAAATCCAAGGTGTGCAGCACAAAGTGAGTTTTATTTATTTATAGACAACCTCAGTGATGAGCTGAGGAGATGGGCAGGCACCCAGTAAGTACCAAGACTCTGAGGAGTTCGGTAGGAAAACTGTACACTTTGCTCAAAATGAGCAGAAAACAGAGACACTATATTTCCACTAATCAGCAGGTGACAGATGGGTTGTGAAAGTCTTGAATAGGAGATGACTGTAGTATGAACTTTTAAGAATGAATTACTTACAAAGTTTAATGATCCCGGAAGGAACAGTATGTGCAAGAGCACCAAGTCATGGGAACAATATCTAAGCACAAATGTGAAGTTCCGTGTTGAGCAGCTATGCAGGCTTTGAGGAGAAGTGAGAAACAAGACTCCAGGCAGTGAGAGTGGAATTGTGAAGGAGTTTATATCAAGCTAAGGAGCTCCAACTTCATCTTTTGAGCCAAAGGTTGTAATTGAGTGACTCTTAGACATTTTAATTGATCCACAGTATTGTTTGTTTTAAATATTAAACTAATATTTGAATATTAGGAGTTTCCCCCCCCCCAAAAAAATGTGTGACTTTCCAGCAGTACTGGACCTGTACTCCCACATGGACTTCATCAGCAGGATCTGAGCTGCAGCTACCTTCCTCACACAGGCTGTACACTCTCTAGCTGGCCACAGTCCCCACAGTTCCCTATGGTCTTCCACCATTCATCATTTGGCTTGACTTTGTTTTCCTTGTAGTAGAGAGAAATGTTTCTCTATTACCATGTCTCTATTCCAGATGAGAATGCAAGGGATGCTCAAGGGACTTAGAATCACAGTCCACTTTGCTCCTAGGTTACCTGCCAATCTTATAAAGATTAGAAGCCTGGATGCATAGACCCTGTTCTAGACAGAGAGAATCAAGGATAAAACAAGATGAAAAAAAAATTTTAATGAGTTTTAAGGCTTCATAGGGTTTTGGAGTATAAAGTGCTGTTAGATGAGAGGATTCAAGATATCTGAATCCTGTGTTAGATTCTCTTCCCTGTGATGTTCTTCAGAAAGACAAATTGGGGGACAGAAGAAAATGGAAAATGTGGTCCATGTCTGGATAATGAGTGGGTCTGTGCCCATCATCCCATTCACTGCAGAGCTAATGTACATGGTTCAGGCTTAATGTAGGCTGGACCTCTCCAGGCCTCTGCCTGCTGGGCAGGTGCTAAATGATAATGACAGTCCTGCAGAGTAGTTCAGAAGAAGAGAAAGCACAAGTGGCTGTGCCCAGACTGAAAGGCAGGCTCTGACTCAGCTTGTCACCTGAGACATGGTCCTACATATTTATGAGGCACTCCAATCCATGTCTGGGAGCTTGTGTGCTCCTCTGCCAGAGACCTTCAGAAAGAAAAACTAGTTACAGTGTGAAAGAGATGGCTTCGAAAGAGGATGGCTGATCACAAGAGCATCAGGGAATAGGTAAATACAGTGTTCGTGCAAGAAATCGTACCTCAAAACACTAAGCTGGGGTAGAAATAATTTGTATTTAACCAATGGTACAAACAGAACAGGGCGGGAGCTGAACCTGTGATCACCTCCTTGGTACATCTTTAATACGGACATGAATATGGGTGGTGTCCGTGGCTTGACACATGTACCTCCACAGTATAAAACAGAAAAAAGAGCTGGACAGGACAGACATGGTTCCCCGTGGGGTATCACTCCTTACCAAAACTGGACAAGGCAGAGGTCTCAGGGAGGTAGACTGTCACCCCAGCCACCCACACACAACTCACTGAACAACTCACATTACCCTGAGGAGGAGGAGGCTTTGGTCAAACCAAAAAAGCAGATCAAGTCAGAATTGGCACAATCTCCCCCAAAACATGCAGCCAGAGGAGCAGACAGGCAAATGTCCACCCCCCACCCTGCAATTTTGGAATGACTGCTACCTGGTCCTAACTCCCCAGGATCCCAATCCAGTAAGGAGAGAGCTCAGCCCAAAGGAGCAGAAAAGTGGACTCCAGTAGCTTAAAAACAGAGAGGTTTGTTTGCCTCGAATAACAGGAAGTCCACCAGGGGCAGTTGAGGCTGGGGACAGTCTAGGTGGATGAGGGACCTCCTCAATGCCGCCAGGGAGGCAGGATTCACCCTCCACCCTTAGTCCCTAGGCTTATAATCTTCAGGATTGTCATTTCATGGTTGTCAGCTAGAGGTGGCAGGCTCTGCACTCCACGCCCAGCCTCAAGTTCATATTCAAGGCAGGACGTTTCTACAGAGGGGAAAGAAAATGAAGCAGCTTCCCAAAGACATACTCAGACGAAAGGAAGAGCCCCACAGGACAGGTGCTAAGGAAGCCTCCTAAGTTCCCAAATATGCATTCCTGGCCACCCAGTATCCTCACAATAAATAGGTCCCATTTCCTTTTTAAATACTTAATTTTTTAAGTTTTTTTTTAGATGGACACAATATCTTTATTTTACATTTATGTGGTCTGAGGATTGAACCCAGTGCCTCGTGCATGCTAGGTGAGCACTTACCACTGAGCTGCAACCCCAGCCTGTCCCATTTTCTTCTGTCTTACTTATACTAACTCAAGTTCATTTCTGTTACTTGCAATTCTTTTTAAGTGTGATCTAATGCATTCATGAGGTCAGATTCACCCTTTAAATCGCACAGATATCTCAGTCCTTGTGACCTTTCAACTTTATACTAAAGGTCCACTTCAAAGCATTTATATAATGATGGTTCATGGCTTGCATAATAATCATTGGAATGGCAGATACTATTTATTGAGCATATGCCACTTGCGCTGTTTGGGAATGTTTACATTGTCACCCAGCCCTGACAAGTAAATGCCCTTATGCATAGGCCTTAATGCTATGAAAAATCACTTTCCTGAGGCTCATAAAGACCCAAAGCTAAGTGGGTCTGATTCCAGAGCTCAGGCTATCTTGCTATAGAACCATCGTATTGAATTCACATATAAGTGCTAAAGACTCAGTTTCCTTTTTCAGATAGAATGAAT